TCTCTCTCTCTCTCTCTCTCTCTCTCTCTCTCTCTCTCTCTCTCTCTCTCTCTCTCTCTCTCGACCGAAGGGGGTGTTTGATTGTTGGAAGATAGATGTTCTCTGGAATTAGGAAGTTTTTTCTTTCTTGGGAAGGGGAATGTTCTGTGAACCTGTGTTTGACAAACTACTGGAATATTTAGGAAGTTCTGGGTACCTGTGTTTGATTGACCCTGGAATGTTTGGCCCTTTAGAGAGTTGTAAATAAGCCTGCTTGAACTGTTCGTTCAGCTATTATGATATGAGGCCGATATATGTCATATGTGAGGGAAATATTTAAGGCACACCTAATCTTCAATAGCTCTAACAAATGAGCGGTTTAGATCAAATGTATAAGGAGTCCGTCGTGCTCTTTATCTATCCCTCTCCCAAAAAAAGCCGCCTTTAATAACGATTCAAAGTTTGTGGACCAAGAATAATTTCTTTCGAAGTTCAATTATATCTGCAAATTTCTTCTAAAGTATTAGTAACTCTTTTGCAAAAATGTGTAGTCACATAGCTTTTTATAACTTATTATTGCATGTCCTGATGCTTGACATAAACTACAATGCTGAATAGACGATGCACAAATATGTAATAGAACCATGTCAATAGTAGTAGCCATGAGATGCAATTGTAGCCGCCATATGCATGGAAGAACAGATTAATCAATGTTTTCATGATCAAATACAAGTAAGGATCTCTTTTTACTTTACAATACAGCTCATTATTGAAGAACAGAATACTCAATGTTTTCATGTTCTACAATGCCCTGATCACCCAATTGCCACTGATATACCACCTCATCTTCAAACTTTACCAGAGAAAAACAGTTTTTACAGTGAAAGTGATCAAAAAACAAATGTTACAGAGTAAAAATTAATCAGTAAAAAACAAATGTTACAGACTAAATATTAATCAATTCATCTTACTGATACTAAATATTAATCAATTCATCTTACTGATCAAAGTAACAATAATTTTACAAGAAATGGTTACTAGAACTAATTACATCAAAATTACACAGAAATCACATATTTTGAAAAGAGAAATTTTAGTGGGCCTGATCATTTCCATTTTAAACATAAATGCAAAGTAAATTTCAGATAAAAAAGAGAGAGTTTAGTGAATACCTGTGGCTCAGAGCAATGGAGACTCCCAAAATGGATAACGGAATGCAGGCACAAGCGGACTCTATAAAGGTGTCTAGGATTCAAAGCTCTGCTTTTGTACCCAGGCTAGGAAAAGAAGAAAAGGAGTCGTCAAAAATTTCTAGGGTTTCCATTTGGTGGAGGGCTCAAGAAATACTTGGGGTTAGGGAGAAAAAGAAAGTGGGTACAGGTAAGAGGATCACAGTCTGGGATTTGCAGAGAGAGATTTGGTTAGGAGTTTGAAAGAGAGAGGACATTAGAGAGTGATAGGGCGGGGCGAGCAGAAGAGAGAGAGAGCAAGAAAAGAGACGACGCTACCCGTCCGATCAAACACACCCTAAGACTAAAATGACTCTCATTATGCTTTAACTTACGGGACAAACCTTCCGACGATCACAATAGCGGGGGGCATGAAGAGACAAACGTCTAAAACCTAGAGGTGGCATTGGACTGGACTTGAAGCCGGACCTAACGGCTATACCCGACACGGGTTTGGGTATGGATTCAAAACATGGATCCAGTGCGGATCGAGTCTTTATCTAAATATTGCACCCAAACACTACTCTGGTCCGGACTCAAATATTGGATCTGTAGACTATTTGGGTCCGGGTCCGGTCGAGTCAAGGTATAGGATCTATATATATTTTTGGGTTTAAATTTATAAAAAAAATAGTTAAATATAATAAAAGAAAAAATTTATATAAAGTTACAACCTTAAAATGTAGAATTAAAAATGCACCTCAAAAATCCATCGAAAAATATTGTTTTAATGTTGAAAAACCCTCTAATTGATCGTCTCGACATCGAGATGTATGAATATAAAAAAGAAATAAAAAAATATTTTGAGTCTTAAAAATAGTACATCTTGCAACACATTATATAGATCGTCCATTTTGAATATTGTCATATGTTTATAGGTCCATTTGATTTTAACCATTTTAAAATTTTATAATTAGATATCAAAATAGATTTTCAGATAATCCTAAAAAAAATTTACACGACAATTACATGTTATGATAAAATTTGGAAGTGTGCCTTAATTTGATTGTTTAAGATTGCAACCTTATAAAAACCACACCCATAGTTAAATACATAAGTATTCTAATAGTTGAGCACCTTAATTTGATCGTTTAATATTGCAACCTTATAAAAACCACACCCATAGTTAAATACATAGGGTATTTTAATAGTGGAGTTTGACCAAGTCCAAATCCCATGTTGTTGTTGTTACCTTTTTACCTCTATCTTTGACAACTTATTCGATCTGAATCTTCATGTTTTACATTTCTTTTATTTTTTGACAATTTGCTGAATCTTCATTTCTCCACAATTACGTGGAGATTGGTTAATTTTCTAAATGAAGACCTTGATACAATTATTTTATGGTTGAATTCAATATACCAAAAATCAACTCGACCAAAGTACTCTGCGTAATTCGCCAAGTTCAGTCCGAGATAGGAAAAAAAAAAGACAAAAAAAAATACATTATAAGAAAAGTATATAATGAGACCATTTATATTTTGTACAAGGTGGTCACAACTAATCTTGACCCTTGAATGTGAAATTGGATGGCTACATTTATTCCATTGATCGAGCTCAAACTTCAAAAAAAAATTTGGAACTTTGTGACACGCCCAAGCTATCAGGTTTCATATCGGATTGTTATAAGCAGTTGTGACCTTCTTATATCAAAGATAAATGGTCTCATGGTATACAATCCCATATTATAATTAAGGCAATATTAATTAGGGGGATTCAAACCATGGTCAAGATGGTGAACTACATATAAAATGATCCAAAAAGCCATTTGAGAACTATTAATTTAGAATTGACATAATGATATATATAAACTATACAATAATTGGTGTACAACATACTTCAACAAAACTCACCTCACCCTTAGGGCGAGTCCAAATGCACTCAGTTGAGTCCACTTTGTTGGAATCTCAAAAATTGCAGAGAACACTCTATATATTGATTGGTGATAAAGAATATACAATACCCCATATAAATATAATATAAGGCTAACGGTTCTGGATAGATACCAACAGTTATTGATAATTACTAACTAATCTTATTATAATCAAGAGATCCCTAGACACCTAATCTTATCAAGAGACATATATTCATACAAATACATATCCAAATGTATTCGTAACGATGTATATCAATACTAATATGATATATATGCATACACTAACACCCTCCCTCAAACTTAAGATCCTTTGACACAAAAAGGTAGGAATTTAAAGAATACTAAGTTGCCAAAATGAGTAATGATATTCAAGCGCATAGCGTGGCCAAGAGAAGCAACAATGGTTTCCATGCTCATATTGCTTGATCAAGCAGTACAGAAAGCGGCAAGCCATAGAACAGAAGGCCTTAGACAAAATTTCATATCTTCATTGGAGACAGAAAAACAGTCGAGACAGCCAAAAAAAATAGAATGACCCTTGGAAGAGCCAAGGGATTCATCAGCTCGCATATCAGAACATACATGATCGTGTAACAAAAAACTTGATCATCAGACAGGATCGTGTAACTGAAAACTCGATCATCATACAATATCAAAGGATCAACGATAGTGTCATATTAGAGTGACTGGGTGAAATTTCATATGGAGCTGGATCCTAAGATCAAGATCGAGACAATGTTTGTTTTGCAAAGAGTCGAAACACGACTCGGTAGGGTCATTTTCAAAGGTAGATTTAGAGGTGGGTTTCAGATCCAGCTCACCAAAAGTCCGACATCAGAGGGGAGCACAACAACAATGGTTTACCTAAAGCAATGGGCAATAGCAGATGGCATGGCTTACTGGTCACATCACAGAGATTAGATTTTTTTTGTTTTTTTAAATCAATTGTAATCAATAAGGGCCCTAATGAGGAGCCCACTATTCCAAAAATATTATCTCTGATATAAAGAAAAAGTGGAAACTGTGGGTTGAATGGCGGTTTCGGTGCTTCTAACCGACAAGAGAAGAGAAGGAGACAGTAATGAGATACAAAAGTAACCAACTTAAAAATAGGTGCAAGCAAGAAAAGCTAGAGAAAAACAGTGAGAGACTCAAACAAGAATAACACATGCCAAAAGTAAGAGGCAAGAAGAAAGAGCAATTTAAACATTTAGGAAAGGAGAAACAGTGGGTCACGTGCTAGAGCCAAAAAGATGGTTCGAGAGATAAAGAGAGAAATGGAGAGAATAAGTGCAAAGGTGAAGACTTTAGTAGGGGATGATGACTTGTTCTACCGTAGAAAGATAAGCTTAACAGAGAAGGAGAGAGAAAAGTGAGAGTAGCAGACGTGATTTCTTTTTTGGTGAGGCAAATTGACAAGCTGTTGGTTGCTGATGTGCTGGACCATGGAGTATTGACGGGTAGATGCCAAATTTGGAGAGGAAAGAGAAAAGGCTTTTCAAAGAGGCTGGTGAAAGAAGCCGGTGCTTTAAAAGAATTTCGGCAAAAGCTTCTCATAGAGATTTAAATCTTGATCTTTTGGAACAAGCTAAACTAGAAATCCTGGGGAACACTTTTTTCTTTTCTTTTTTTCACGAGTTGGGGTTTGATGATCCTAGAGCATAGGTTGAGGAGAGACTAGCATAAAATTTATGGAATGAATCTTATCGGAACGAATCTGAGGCCTCGATACGGATAGGCGGGGCAAAGAGGCTACAACAACCCCAAATCTAAGGTTGAAGAGTCGATGGCTATGATACCATGCTAGAAACTCATGGTACTGCAAGAGAACTCTCTTAATATTGATTGGTGATAAAGAGTATACAAATATTGATTGGTGATAAAGACTATATGAGACCCGTACGGCTAACGGCTCTGGATAGATACCAATATTGTTAATTACTAACTAATCTTATTATAATCAAGAGATGCTTGGACACCTAATCTTATCAAGAGATATACACTCATACAAATACGTATTCATATATGTCTGTAACGATGTATATCAATACTAACATGATACATATCCATACACTAACACTGTTATACCGCTTGAAATCAATAGCAGTAAGGTAGACACTGATTGATTTGTCATGTGTGGAGAGTAAGGTTTTAGTATTGAGTTGATAAGATAATCTCTCCGCATATAAAGCATACAACAAGAAATGTATACTGTTTTAGTTATTTAATAAACAAGTTATGATTAAAGTTAGTGAAGCCTTTTTTATGAACTTATGATTGTAGCTATGAATTCTACCTCTTTTTCCAGTGAGCAGGTTCAAGTATATAGTGAAACAGTTCTTCAAGCTATCTAATCTTTTTTTTCCTAGCTAACTATTTATTTTGTAGTTAAAATTACATAAACTCTCCTACCTTGAACTTTCTACACATAGAACCTCACCATACTTTAATGGACCAATTTTTGCTCTCTACTCCACCTTCCATGAATGTAATCAAGGCCCTCAAAATCACCTAGTGTGGAAGCTTGTTGTTGACTCCAATGCTTACTATCAATTTCTTGACATAAGTGTCCAGTTAACCAGCCATCAAATATGTGAAAGCTCCTTGTTTTGTGCCTAGAAATTTTTATTCCAAGTCCAGGCTCACATTTAAAATTCAATGCTCCCTAGAATCTCTCTTTAGTGTAGCAGCTCAGGTTTAATGATTTTAATTTAAAGGAGAAAAGATTCAAAGTAATTTTTTAAAGTGAGAGACTCAATAGAGAAGAGAAGTCATCAGTGTTCTCAGGGAGCTCTAGAATCTTTCCAAGTGGAAATTCAATTCAACTTTCATTTGTAGTAAAAGTTAAAAGTTTTTTTTTTGGGGAAACATATATAAAGAGATCATTTATTTTTGGTATAAAGATATCATAATCACTCTTATCCATCAGATTTCAAATTAGGTGGTTCTAAGAGCGTTATTGACCGATTCGAAGTTCGAAGAAACAAAAAATTCTTGAAGATATACCTTAAGACATCCATTTTGACATCTAATGGCCAGGAATAAATGTGGCCTCCTTGTAGTAAAGATGAACAGCCTCTCTTTCTTTCTTTTTAGAACTATAGTTATGTCATCATTCAGGGTTATTTCAAACTCCTAATCATTTTGTTATGACATCTTCAAATGGGAAGAACTCTATGTGCATTCCTATGAGTCTACAGTCTTTTAACGCTTTAGATACTGGCTACTATTTTACCAAATGAAAAGGTTTTTACTTCCTCAGATAATACAAGCTAGGTGTATTTGTAGGATCTCAAATTTTGGGGGTGCAATTACTTGAACCATGCGACCAAATAAAAAAACACACAAAATCTCAAATCGCATGCTCTATGTGCTTGAGAAAAGCACTACAAGATTGAACATGAATATTCCAATTGTTGGAGGCCCAGTGGATTGAAGAACTCGAAATCCATTTGTTTTTTTGCTTTTGGAAACAATCAACTAGTAATTCTTAG